GTTGGATGCTGGCCTGTTCTGGGTTGTCACTGCTTCTTGCATCTCTTGTGCAGCGCTTCCAGCTTGGGCAGATTTTAGATGTTTTTCCAGCGGGGCCTTTGGAAGACCGTGCCCAGAGCTCCAGCTTCCCAGCCTGGCCTGTGAACTATGCCTTGTCTGCGGCCTGGCACCAGGCAGGAAGCAGGACCCACAGATGCGGCTGTGTTCATGTTGGCCCCTGCAGACCAGAGTTTGACTGATTCTTTATTCCAGGTGGACCCAAGGGGGATACTTCCTCCCCCTTCCTCCCTCCAGCCCCGCCACCTGTCCAGATGAAGGAAATGCCTCTAAAAACCTTAGCACCCATGTTTATGTCCCCTCCCATACCAGCATTGTCCTCACTCCTCTTCTGTGGCCACATGTCACCCTGTTTTGCAGGAGAGCCCTAGGAGGAGCTGTACCTCCTTCTACCGGATAGGGCCCAGCACACAGTAGGTACTCAGCAAACACTCGTGTGCATTGGTGAAAATGCCAAGCTTCAGATAATGCCTTTTGGGGAGAGAGTGTTATTCTTTTTATTTTTATTTTTAGAGACAGAGTCTCATTTTGTCGCCCTCAGTAGAGTGCCATGTCATTACAGCCTACAGTAACCTCCAGCTCTTGGGCTTAGGCAATTCTCTTGCCTCAGCCTCCCAAGTAGCTGAGACTACATGCGCCCACCACAATGCCCAGCTATTTTTTTTGTTGCAGTTCAGGCCGGGGCCAGGTTCGAACCCGCCACCTTCAGTATATGGGGCTGGTGCCCTACCCACTGAGCCACAGGCACCGCCCCAGTGTTATTTCTATAAACATCAAATCATGGAGTTTCTCAGCTTGGGGGAGGGGTAGTGTTGACTTAACCATGAGCCACAGAAGATGCTGGATGTGTCTAATTCTTATCATGGCCTTATTTTTTGTTGTTTTTTAAATTTGTGTCCTGAAATGTTGTCTAAGGTTCAAAGGGCGTGAATTATACCTCTGTCTAGGGAGGACCCCCAACCCAGACCTTCAAGGCAAAGAAAGATTCCTGACACAAGCCATCTCATGTACAGCCCTTTCCTCCATGCTGGGTGTGTGCATGCACTTGTCCCGTCAAACTCTGACGCATGTGAGATGGCTATTCCTGTTGCCTTCCTTGGAGACAAGAAGACTGTGACCCAGAAGGGGGATGTCATGTAGGCCAAGTCATACAGTTTGTCTCTTACGGCTGCTGGAACAAATCAGCAAACACAGAGTGGCTTAAAACAACACAGATTCATTATCTTATAGCTCTGAGGGTCAGAAGTTGTAAGATCAAAGTCTTGGCAGGGCTGGTTCCTCTTGGGAGCTCAGAGAGAGTCCATTCCTCGCCTCTTCCAACTTTGGGAGGGGTCTATGTTCCTTGGCTTGTGTCCCCTCCTCCCCTTCAAAGCCTGCAAAGTGTCTTCAAGCTCTCTCAGACTCTGACCTCCTGCCACCTCCTAAAAGCACCCTTCACACACTTGGGGCCAGCTGGATGATCCAGGATCACCTCCCCATGCCGAATCCTTAATCATATCTGCAAAGCCCCTTTTACTATGGAGGGTCCTGGGACTAAGACATGGCCATCTTTGGGACCACTGTCCTGCCTGCCACACCCAAGGAGTAGCAGCAGCTGCTTTCTTGGGCCACTCAGCATGTGTGAGTGCCAAAGGGAGATGGGGTCACCTGCAGGGGGCTTCGGGGAACCTCTTCCTTCTCCAAGCCTGTATCCTTTCTCTTGTGGCGCTCAGCCCTTGTTCTGGGGACACTGTGACTAGCAGGAATGGGGCTGCTGGTGACTCTGTCCACAATCTGTTACCAGACTTGAAGACAGGTGTGTGCCCACCTTTGGAGCTCCCAGGGCTGCTTTGCAGGTGTGGGCTGTCTCTGGACAATGCAGGGTCTGTAAGGTGCTGGGCTTCGGGTTAAAGAGGTGAACAAGTATCCTACCTTAAGGAGCTCCTGGTCTGGGGGTGACAGACACACAAGGGGTCACAGCAATGGAGATGGGGTCCCCATGGAGAATGCCAGGACAGGAAGGACAGGGAGCTTGAGTGGGTCTCACCTGGCCAAGTGCGAAGGCACTGGAAGGATGGACGGGATAGGCAACAGCATGAGCCAAGGCACAGAGTCAGCTTGGACTGGGTGTGAGGGCATGAGAGAGAAGTGGGAATGCCTTGACCCTGTGCGTGGCAGGGGAGGTTTGGGCAGGTCGTGGGTGAGAGGCTGTGTGGGTAAGGGCACAGACTGTGGAGCCAGGTCATCTCCTGTAGCTGTTCTGGCCTTGGGCAAGTTATGTAGCCACCCATGGCCCAATTTCAGTGTGTATAAAATGGCCAGTAGCCCTGCTGGGGCCATCGTGGTGACAGTGTGCTCAGGCATTTGGTCAGTGTCTGAAACAGTGCCTGGTGCTCTCTTCTAATTGGATTTGTGAAATGTGGCCTTTTGTATTCTCTCTCTGGAGCTGCTGTAACAAAGACCACAGACTGGATGGTTTAAAGCAATGGGAATTCATTGCCTCTCAACACTGGAGGTGTGGGCAGGGCCCCTAGGTTGTCTGTGTTGGGGCATGATAGAAATCTGCTCTGGCTAAAATGGCAGCCGCCAGCCACATGTGGCGAATGTCCACGGAGGAGCGGAGTTTTTCATTTGACCTAATTTTCACTTATTTAAATAGAATAGTGTCAGGTGGTTAGTGGCTCCCGTCTTAGCTCAGGCCTCAAGGTCCTGGGGCATGGTGCATGCAGCCACGGGTGGCGGGGCTGAGTGTGTGCTGGGGTCCTGGGTGCTGCTTAGGGCTGTGTGGCCCTCGTGACTGATGGAGTGGGGTTCCAGGACACATTAAAGTGCAGGTCCTGTGACCCGTGTGGCCACATATCACATCCCATGGAAACTCTCCTTGGTTACCGGATGGTCAAATCCCCTCAAGCTCTTATCACCCAGTCATGGTCCTCACCAGTTGGGACATTTTAGTCCATTCGTTGGGAATTTTAATCCATTTGTAGAATACTCTAGAGCAGTGGTTCTCAACCTCCCTAATGCCGCAACCCTTTAATACAGTTCCTCATGGTGTGGTGACCCCCAACCATAAAATTATTTTTGTTGTTCGCAGCAACCACTGCTCTAGAGGGTGGGGGGATCCTGGCGGAAGCTTGGGATGAAGCTAGGGACCATCTGCTCTGTTCACTGTGGCGACTACAGTGCAGAACCCAGCCAGCACTCAATAAATGAGCTGAGTGAAGGACTTCCAGGGAGTCCCTGAGCCCTGGACGTGGGCACAGGGAGCTGTAGCAGTGGCTGGTGGGGGGTGGCCCTGTTGGGACAATGCTCCCCTAGCATGTGCTAGTCAGCGAGGAACTGCCTCAGGACAAACATCCCCGTCTCTGTGGCGTTAAACCATGAGGGCTTCTTCCTGGCTGTTGTCACATGTTCACTCTGGGTTGGCTGTGACCCCATGTGTTCTGCCCTTTGAGGGCACCGAGGGTCTGAGGATGGTAGAGATGCCACATTGTGAATGTTGGGTCAGAAGGAGGGTGTCTGAAGGATCTCGCACAAGTGGTGAAATCCCTGACTAGGATTGACAAGTGTCCCAGGCAGCCAAGCCATGAGTACCCTCCAGGGAAATACGGTTCCCACCTGTGCATGGAAGGCAGAGAGCTGGGACTGTCTGACAAGGGGTTGGCATGAGGATCTCCCAGCTCGAGTCCTGGCTCCTAGCAGGGGTGAAGATGTGTCTGACAGAATGGGGTGATTGGCAGGATGGGGCACCCTGTGGCAGCTTTGGGAAGAGCTTGCTGGCCTGTCCTAGGGGAGATCTTTACTGGGCTGGCCTTGGGCTTAGTGCCTTCAGATGGACAGGGATTTTCTTGGGTTGGTTGGGCAGGAAGGAGCCTGGATGGAGCCCTGGGGGCGGGGGGAATACTGTGGGAGCTCAGAAATGTCACCATGCTGGTTTGGGCAGGAGCCCCCTGGGGCTGCTGGTCCCTCAAAGATGAACTGGGGAGAGATCCCTGGTGGTTTATGTTTCCATAAGGAATAGAAATTTAGGGACAGACTTTAAAATAGACCAGAAGAACTTCCCAGAGTGGAGCTGCAGGATGGGCTAGGGAAGGGAGCAGGGAATGAGTTCTTTGTATCTATCTAAAGAGGCTCTTTATGGGGGCTGTGGGTGGCATCCTTTCCCACCTTGCCAAGATTCTTCCAGTTGCAAGAGACAGGAAGGTAGCTCAAAGTGTCTTAAGGCACAAAATGGATTGATTGGCTGGTGCTCACAACTGAGGACAGCTTCAGGCATGGTTTGATCCAGACCCTAGAACAATGTTAGCAAGACTTTACCTCTCACTGCCTTTGATTCCTGCTCTCTTCAGTGTGTTGCTTCATTTCCAGATGGGGTCTTCCTTGCCCACATTCTTAGTCACTCACGGGGGCTTTCCCCATAGCTCCAGCAGAAAACCTGGGCATGGGTCCTATGGGCCCAGTGTGGGTTATATCCCTGTCTAATGCAGTCCTTGTCCTTGGGAAGATGCAATGCTGTTTCCAAAAGAGGTGGACGATAGCTAGGCAACACTAGGGGCCTGCACCTGCCCTCCTGGGAAGTTTGCTGTTCTGACTTGCCTCTTGCCCCCTTCTGCAGGCCCAGCCACGCCCCACTTGTGTGTCCCTCTCCTGGCAGGCATCACCCCCATGGAGGCTGCTCCAGCCTTGGGTGGCACCAAGAAGGGATTTTAGCTTCTCCCAGACAACTGCCCACGGGGGCTTCCTAAAAAGGATCCCAGGGCTCTAAGGCTGGCTCCAGGGCCTCAGTGTGGCCCAGAGATTGTAGTGAGAGGCCACTACCAGGTCCCTGTATTGAGAGCTGGCACTTGGGGGCCAGGCTTCTAGACTGAGCCAGAGAGGGAAGGGTGGCAGGTGATGCCCAGCAGGGAGTGAGGGGCTGCTGTGCCCAAGGGCTGTATAACCTCATGCCTATGCCCTCCCTGCAGCCTCCTTCCCTCCTCCACAACCCCCCAGCCCCCGAGATGAGAGCCCGGATGCTGCCTGTGTTCTTTGGAGAGAGCATCAAGGTGGACCCAGAACCCTCCCATGAAATCCGGTGAGTGGGTCGGGAGCCTTGATAGGGGGGCAGGTGCTTCCTGTGGGGGTGGGGTGGGTAGGTGGCCAAGTCTTTGCCAGAGATAAAAGTGATTTTAAATAAAATACTCTGACCCCAGGGAACCATGCATCTCCATCTCCACTCCCGGTCTATTCAGCCATTTCCCTCATTACCTTCTTCTCCAACAACCGGATTGGTTTTTATTGTAAATCTAATTTCCCCGAAGGTTTGGAAAATGGTAAACATCACTGCTGGAGCGCCCCGTGCGGGCCCCTCTCCTTTCTCTGCTGAGTTTCTAGGTATCCATCACCACACCCTACTGGGGACCCTTTTTCCATTTAGTATTTCCCGGGTGTTATGGGAAGGCTGAGTTGCCCTGTGTCCTCTATAAATTTAACTTAGGCCCTTTATGTCACCAAGAAGTGGCTGCCCCTAAGTCCACTCGGTGCCCTCCCATGCACAAGGCATCTTAGGTGGTGTCTGAATTTGGAGTTAAGGTGACCCCATGGGGAAACTTCCTGCATGAATTCACCCTTCTCTCAGGCTGCTGGGGCTCAGGCTTCCCAAAGGTGGGGTGTATGTGGGTCTTGCGTGTATATCCCCGGGACTTTGTGGATCAATTTGTCCATATCGAGTGGGGCCAGCCAGACATGCAAGTCCTGCTTGCTGCCCCCACCAGCTCTGCATATGGTCCCAGGAATTTTGTTTTTTCCTCCTCAAACACCCTTTAAGTTTTAAAAATACAAATCAAAAGTAGATATGCAGATGCTCCAGCTGGCGTGGGTGAGGGGTGCCTTGACTCTTGGGGCCTCTGATCCCTTCACAGGTATTTACTGGTGGTCTGTGGGGACAAGGTAGGGAATGAGGCAGGCAAGAGCCTCCCACTCCTAAATTTCTACTTGGATTTCCTAGGAACTTTTGAGAAACCTATTTTGATTTAATCTTGCACCAAACAGGTGCAAGAAAAGTACAAGTGGGCGGCCCCTGTGCCTCAGTGAGTAGGGCGCTGACCCATACTCATTCTTTTAACCTACGGTGGGTCCAAACCCGGCCCCAGCCAAAGTGCAACAACAACAACAAAAAATAGCCAGGCATTGTGGCGGGCGCCTGTAGTCCCAGCTACTTGGGACTGAGGCCAAAGAATCGCTTAAGCCCAAGAGTTGGAGGTTGCTGTGAGCTGTGATGCCATGACACTCTACTGAGGGCATCTCTTAACAAAAAAAGAAAAAAGAAAAAAGGAAAAGTACAAGTGACCCTCATGTGACCCCAGTTGCTTACATTTTGTCCCACTTAAGAATAGATTGTTCCTTCCCTGGGGTCCCCAGACAGTTCAGTGGGTTTCCTAATAGGGACATCTGCTTCCATGACAGTGGCACAGGTCAGGAAATCCAGTATTGCAACGTCACCCTGTAATCTCTACCTCATATTCACATTTCATCTGTTGCCCCAATAATGTCCTTTTAGGGCACCTTTCCAGGATCCATCCTGGGCTATGTGTTGCACTCAGTTGTCTCCTTAGTCTGCGGTAACCTTGGGCAGCCTTTCTTCACGTTCTTGACGTTGACAAGGCCATTGTGCCGAGAGCTCTGCCGAGTGTCTTCCTTGGGTCCATGGTGTGTGTGTGTGGGGGGGCGTCTGGGCTGCCGCTCATCCTGGGCTCACTCCCCACCCTCCTGTCCTCCACAGCTGCAACTCTGAGGTCAAGTACGCCTCCGAGAAGCACTTCCGGGACAAGGTCTTCTATGCACCTGTGCCCACTGTCACAGCCTACAGTGAGACCATTGTGGCAGCACCCAACTGCACGTGGCGCAACTACCGCAGCCAGCTGACCCTGGAGCCTCGCCCTCGTGCCCTGCACTTCCGCAGCACCACCATCATCTTCCCCAAGCACGCCAGAAACACTTTCCGGACCACCCTGCACTGCAGCCTGGGCCGGCCCAGCCGCTGGTTCACCTCCAGTGTGCAGCTGCGGCCGTGCGAGGACCCTGGCTCCCACCTCTCTGGTCCTGCCGCACCCTGATAGGGCTGGGGCGGGCTCTGGGCAGGAGGGAGGCAGGTGGGGAGTCCGCTGTGCCAGGAGCAACATGGAACAAGGCTGTCCTGGCCCCCTGCCCCGACCCACAGGCTGGGCCATGTGTTCCCTTGATCCAGTGTGGAGGACTCAGAAAACGCATCTATTTTGTTAGCACTTAAACCTCAAGGCAATACAGGCAGGCACAACTGGGTGGCAGCCACCTCAGGCTAGGCAGAGGTGAGTCCATGCTGTACCCTTGAAGCAGAGGACAGCCCTGAGCATTGGAAGGACACAGGTGTTTCCACCTTGGCTGGGGGTGGTGGTGGTAGAGGGTACCTACTGCATCCCTTGGAGAGCCCTGCCACTCCTGTGTCCTGGGCAGGTGGCTAAGGCTGTGAATGGATGAGGGGGCCAGCCAGGCAGCACCTGTTCCTGGAGGGGAGTCTTTCCAACATGGGCCTCAGCTTGTGCTGAGAGGACCAGCTGTGGCTCAGCACACATTGAGCTGGGAAGTTGGGCGAAAGTGGACACTGTTACCAGGGCTGGTGTTGGTTATGTTGGGGGCAGGAGGAGATAGCCTCGGAAGTACCTGGAGCCATAGCCATGCCAGGGCTTTGGTTGCAGAAGGGAAGCCCTGGGGCTCAGCACCCGGAGCCTCACCCCACGGTGCCCCCAGCCAACACCGTCCATGCACCACCTTCAGAATGTCAAGGCCAACCCAGGGAAGGCCATGAAATCTCAGAAATGTCGCTGCCACCTATGTGAAACCAGTCTAGATTCAAAGTGGTTCTGAGTTCAGCCACCAGCTTGGAGATAACACCGTGGAGGCCTCCTGCACAAGGTCGGTTCTACATGACAACATGTAGTGCCTGGCACTGCCCAAAATGTGGGAAGACCGGCTAGATGAAGACTTGGGTTGGGGATCCCTGGGACAAGCCAGGATGTCCAGGGGGCTGGAGCACCTCTGGGGCCACTGGATACCCCAGAAACTCTATGGTGGCCATGAGGATGCCCCTCTGAGCCCTCTTCCCTCTCTGACCTGAATGCCTCAGCAGTGGGCAGCTGCTCCTGCCACCCCCCAAGTTCCCTCTGTGCGACTCAGCTCATGCCCAGAAGGGATAAAATATCTGGTATATTTTTATATATCCACATAGATAGTGTATTTTCTCTCCAGGGATGCTGTCTGATAAAGAAGTAACTTAAGAAATCAATTGATTATCTTAATAAAATGTGCAAACCCAAAGGGACTTCCATTTTAGTTTCTGAGACCCTCATTCCCACGGGGGTGAAGGGGCAGACCTGTTCCCAGGGGCATCTCACTCTATGGCCACCCACTGTTCTTCCCACATGGCATTACTGCCTGGGAGACCTTGCCTCCTCCCTGCTCATGGGGGACAGGAGGGACTTAACCCCTACTTCAAGGCCAGCCTCAGAGTATATAGGGTCTACCCAAGAGCAAGTTAATAAATGCCCAGGCCCCGACCTGGAGCCAGGGGCTGGGACATCTGCATTTTTGATGTGTGCCCGTGCTTTGAGCTTGCTCTGCATCCCAGCCCCACCCTGTCCCTGGAGAACAGCCTCAGCTGCCACTGGCTAGGATGTACCTTAGGATTTGTTTCCATTGACACTTAGAAAGGCCTTGGGCTCCAGATCCTGAGTGCATTAAGGGAGACACTGGAAAGCAAGGACAGTGTCCTCAATGAGTTGGAAAATCAGACTGGAATTGGCCCTGGGGTTGGGGTCATCCCAAGCACTGTATTAAATGTTTAATGTGGTTTTTCACTCATGTCATCCCTACCTGCTGAGACAGGTACTACTGATTCTCCACTTTATAGAAGAGAAAGTTAGACACAGAGAGGTTAAGTAACTTGCCCAAGGTCACATAGCTAGTAGGAGACAGAGCCAGGACCTGAGCCCAAGATCCCTGACACTCTTAACCACTGGAGTGCCTGCCTCACAGGGTGTGACCCTAACAGGGAATAGGGTAGTGAATGCCACAACAGGCACAGTCAATGACAGGTCTGCATGAACCTTAAGGCCTCTGCTGTGGACAAGCAGGACAGAAACACCATTTCAGGTGCTCCCAGCCCTCTGTCCCTCTTTGGTGATGGGATTCCATGCAAATACACACACTGGCAGTAGCATTCTCTAATATCCTCCGTAATCCATGCAAACTCCATTTCACAAGTTTGATTTTCAGCCAACCTTGATCTCTCACCACCTCAAAGGAAAAATGGGTTTCCTGACACGGTCCCAATGAATCCAGTGGACTGGGGGTGGGGGTGGGGGGGGAGTGTGCTCCTGGGATCAGACTTTGCTCCAGAGCCTGGGCTGAGATGCTGGGTGTGCACGGCATGTAAGGCCCTCCTACCCAGGAATGCTCCTTCTCCTCCATCTTTAACAGGCAGTACCCCCAAAACCTTTTACCCGCGCCCTCCCCCCCATGTCCACATCTGCTTCCTGGAGAGTACACAAGCCCGAAAGCCTGCACCAGGGACCTCTTGGGCTCACTTTGCCCCACAGTGTGTGCCTTCCCTGGTGGGGTTGGAGCCCTGGCCACCTGTAGCCTGCAGTGCAGGGGCCCAGTCAGGGATGAGGAGGGGGGAGTGAGAGACTGGCTCCTAAAGCTCCCAAAGGCACACTGGTTTTCTGTTGCAGCAGCTCTTCTGTCCTATGGGAACCCAGGGGACCTGGAGACAGGCAGAAAGAGGCACTAGTTTCATGCAGACCCTGTCCCGAGCCCTTGGAGACTCCTAGAGCTCCAGCTGCCTAGCCTCAGGGCACTCTTGCTAAAGGTCCTTCCTCCCTTGCCCCTGGCCCATGTCCACTAGATGAGCAAAATGTTCACATGCCAGGCAAGCCCTTGGTGATGCCCCCAGAGGGGCAACTGTCACCCAGGCAGGGGGCTGATGTGGGGTGAGCTCTGTCAGAATATGCTATTTCCCTTTTTTGAGCCTCTGCAACATGGGCCTAAGGTCTCTATTTTGCAGGCCTAAGAGCAAAGTTGGCAGTGCCCCTCTGCAAACAAGTGCCCCTCCCCGCCATCAGCCAAATTCGACATAATCCCATCTCTTCCTCCCCAAAGTGGGAGTAACAAGAACCACAGCTCTGGTGCCAACAGACACAGAGCACTGGGACTGTGCCCAGTCATGCTATGAGCACGTTCTGTGTTTTACCTGCTTCATCTTTTGGTGAGGGTAGGGAGAATTCTACCAGAAGGAAGCAAGTGGATGAGAGCTGCCACTGCCAGGATAGCTCCTGTCCCCACAGCTGAAGCCTCCTGGTTTTCTGCAGGACCCATAAACAACAACACAGCTTCATTTGGTGGCCCTTCTAGGCTTTCCAGGACAGAATGGCCAGAGAACCCTGTTACCAGCTGCCACATGACTGACTGATATATTCCCAAAATATGCAAACTGTCAAACAACCAGTTGCAGTTTCTCTTCTCCCTCTATAAAATCCACCTTTGTATTCCTTCCACACAGTTGAGTTAATGGCAGCTGTGTAAAAGGGATAAATCACATTTAGCAATTATGGCAGCATCATCACCCCATTCTACAGATGAGAAAACCGAGGCCCAGAGAGGTCAAAGGCTTGGCCAGAGCCTGGCAGCTGGCTCCACACTCTGGCCTCTTTACAACATGAGGCTCTGCCCTCACGAGAGTGCCCATGGCCTGGTGTGCGCCCAGGACAAGGGGGCTCTGCTGTGCCACACCCCCATCCTGGCCCGAGACTGGAGTCCCAGGCCTGTTTCTCCCTCATGATCCATTCAGCACCCCATAAACCCAAGCTACCCTAATTTTCAGAGAACCAGTCAATGATCTGACTGAGCAACTGCTCAACTCAGAAACTCCTGGGTCCCTGTTGACTTAGGTCCAGCCATTGAGGGCTCCACAGAATCCCTGGCTGGGCCTCACTCCTAACCTTTGTTCATGTAGGTTTTGCTCCTCTCAGCCCATCCACTCCCTAAGACCTGCCGCCTCTAGGAATCCACCCTGACTGCTCCAGTTTATCTGCATCATCTCAGGAGTGATTATCCTGAGCCAACCCTGTTGTCTTGGGGACAAGTACATTCCTGCCCTGTAGCTGGTGGGTCAGGCCTCCTATGGACCCTTTTGTGTCCTCACTGGAGATATCCTGGTCAAACAGAAAAGAGGTGCCAGGTTCCAGGTGAAGGGATAGCTCCAACCTTGGGAACTGACCCTGCCATCAGAGTGAGGACTGCAAACCACCCACATCAGAAACACCTAGGCTACTTGTTGAAAACACAGATTCCCAGGCCCTAGCCTAGACCTAGAACAGAGGTACTCAAACTTTTTAAATAGGGGGGCCAGTTCACTGTCCCTCAGACCGTTGGAGGGCTGGAATCTGGGCCCTGGGACGAGTCGGCTGCTAAGCAGGACAGGCAGCGGTGGCAAAAACACCCAGCAGGCCGGATAAATGTCCTCGGTGGGCCGCATGTGGCCCACAGGCAGTAGTTTGAGGACGTCTGAATCAGACTATGTGGACTCAGGGATTGGCATTTTAACTAACTTCCCGATGTCTTAAGACATGGTGACATTTGCAAAGAACTGTCCTTTATAAAGCATTTTCCAGTTCAGTTCAACATAGTTGGCAGGAAGGTTTAGAGCCAAAAGCAGGGTGAGGAGCGAAAAGAAAAGAGCTGTGACCTGTTAACTATTTTAACAGATACTCAAAAAGGAGAGATCTGGAGTTCTTAGAGGAAGTAATGTCCCAGCTGGGTTTTGAAGTATATGTAGGAGTTTTCTAGGGAGATGGGGGGAGACCAGGGAATTAGTATAAGCCTCCATCTTAAATATGGAACAGTGAGAAGGCCAAATAAGACTGGGGTGCATGAACTCTTTGGGGGTTGAGGACCAGCTGGGAGACAGAGCAGATCCTCTGAGGGCAGCAGGAGGCCATGGTCTCTCCCTATACCCTACAAACATTCCCCTGTTTTGGGTCTGGGCCACTGGTCCCCAGAAGATACACAGAGGTATTAAACA